GTGGCATGTTGTGGTGACAGCGATGAGACTTAACCCCTATGCCACCAGGGGGACCCTAACGTGGCAGGTGTGAGGCGGCATGTTCCGCTCTCTTCCTAGTAGACCTCCTCCGATTGCCCTTCCTGCTGGCTGGCCGGTTGTGCCTGAGTTAAATTCATGTGTTTGCCCCCGGCCTCCAGCACGTGGATTATTTAGACCTGAAGGCCAAAGTCACAGTTACGCCAGATCCTTTGCCCTCATAACAGGATTCTGCACCCACACCCTTTACCAGGTGACTGCAGGCCCTGACACGGCACAGCAGAGGTGGTCAACGCGTTCCACTGGCTGACTGGGCCACTCAGCTCTGCCACCCACCATCAGAGAAAGGAGCTGCAGGAGGAAGCCGGGGGGCAGCCCCCTGCTGGCTTTGTGGCCTCCGACAAGTTGATTACTGTCTCTGCCACTGCAGAGCGAGAACACTGTGCTCCATCCGAGGGTCAGCCTGCTCTTCGCTACAACTGGCTCAGAGTGGGCCCTCCCTGCTGGCGCCAGGGGTGACAGCACAAACTCTGAAGCCGTCTGCAGCTGCTTCAGCGCGAGCTGGACCCCAGCCAGGGAGTGACCCACATGGCGCGGCAGACCTCGCCTGTCTCCCCGCTGCTCCCCTCAGCAGTGGATTTCAGTACATCTGTCTGTTCTGCTCCCCACTCTGTCTCTGGTGAATCCCCCTGGCACCCCCACCTCTGGCCTGTACCCCAGTTCTTGCATGAATAAATAAATACACCTTTTCTTAAAAAAGGAATCCCTGCTCTACCAGGTTGGGGAGCAGGGGGCCCGTGGGGTGCCCTGTAGTGCCCCGCACACAGGAGGCCTTTGCACCTGCCAGCTGGTGGAGCTGAAACAGTCTCGGTGACCGTCCGCACCCCAGCGGGGCAGGGAGTCCCCACCGCAGACGACCGCATCTGGTCCCGTGGCCAAGATGGCTCACATCTCACTGTGCTGCTCCGCTGACCAGGCCTCACACTGGCCTTGGGCCCGAGCAGCTGACCAGCTGTGGCCACATTGCACTAAGGCCCAGCCTGGAGGATGTCCCTGGCTTCTCAAGGTCACACAGAAGTCTCCATCTTCGGGCTCAGAAGTTCAAGTACTAAATACAGTTTCAGCAGAATTTCCTTTTGGTTCGTTTGTCTTCTTTAGTATCCACATTGGAAAATCAGACTCATTGTTCTGCTCTTAATAAAAATAAAATTCAATCTGGAGAAGCAGAAAAAAGCTGGTGGTATCTACTCAGCAATGCAGCCTGCTCTTCACTAAAACTGATGGATAGTCACACGAGCACACAAAATGGTGTCACTGTTATGTCCCCAGAGATTCCTCATTACACATTTTACCCCTCCTTGAAGATTCTCGGTAGTGAGAGGTTCGTGGCCGGCGATGCTCTAGGAAAACCACAGGGATCTGAATCACGAATGGCGGAGCCCAGAGGGAGCAGACAGCTGTGCTTCAGCACCCGCCCAGCGGGAGGCTGTCCCAGCTCTCCTCGCCTAGTGTCAGGGCAGGCTCGGGTGCTGCTCGCTCTGCAGGGGCAGCTGGGCCCAGAGGCGGCCATCAGCTGGCCGGACGCCACAGAGCCAGCAGGGAGCAGGGCCGGGCGTTCCGGCGGAGGGCGCAGGCTCTGGGTGAGGAGCAGGGGCCTTAGTGTCTCGCCAGCTGCTGCTGCAGGCCTGCTGCATCACAAAGCCCCTAAGTGACAACAGATGTGCGTGTCCACATCGCCACCTGTGAGTCAGCTGGGGGTTGCCAGTCAGCACTGGGCTCTGCTGGCCAGGACTGGGGGCTGTGGGCTGGGGTCCGCCTGCCCCCTGGGCTTCCTCCTGCAGCTCCTTTCTCTGGTGGTGGGTGGCAGAGCTGAGCGGCCCAGTCACCCAGTGGAACGATGACCACCTCTGCTGTGCCATGTCGGGGCCTGCAGTCACCTGGCAGAACCCTGTTATGAGAGCAGAAGAACTGGGGTAACTGGTCGCTCCAGTTGGGGGAAACTGTATTTAGTACTTGAACTCTGAGCCCGAAGATGGAGGCTTCTGCGTGACCTTGAGAAGCCAGGAACAGCCTCGAGGCTGGGGCTTAGTGAGATGAGACCCTGGGCCAGGGAGCCTCACGGCAGCTTCCCTTTGCTCCAGAAAGCATTTGTGCAGGGATAGGTCAGTAGGGTTGGTGACAGGGGCCGCTAACCCCCTCTGCCTTAGAAAATCTCTTCCTCGCCTGCCCTGGCGCTGAGCCCCAGTCCCCCACCCTGTTATGTATCAGAACTCAGGCTCCTAGGTTGTCCCCAGATGTGCTGAAGCAGAGCCTAGGAGAGCCCTGGAAATCTGCAAGTTAACAAATGACTTGAGTGTTTCTTACCTTCAGACGTGTTGGGGGAAATGGGTCAAAGTGAGTCTAAGTCCCTTTAAGCCTGCAAAGCCCCCAGGCTTTCTGGATCTTAACTACCCTGCCTTTGTTCCGAGCTCTTTGACAAGCCTGACTCATAGTGCTCAGCCAGAGGAGGAAACAGCGGCCCAGAGCGGTGGAGTAAATTATGCCAGGTCCCACTACTGTCTGACTTCAATGCGGATTTAAACCTACACTGGCAACTCCAAGTCTACACTGCAGAAGACACAGTTCCTGCCTTGAGGGTCTATGCCCTGGCTGGGAAGATGAGCCTGGACAGATTTTACATAGGACAGTATGACCCAAGGACCCCAAGGAAGGGTTAAGAGGGTAAAGGAAATCACAGTCACTTCCTCCTGGGTATGAGAGAAGGAAATGTCATGGAAGACTTCCTGGAAGAGGAGGCTTTGGAGTTTGGCTTTGAAGAATGACAGGCTTTCCTACGAAGAGATGGAATCACATCTGGGGAGGGAGGTGAGCAGGCGGTCTGGAGGCAGAGTTCTCCTTCTGGCCCTCCCCAGCACCATGCTGGTTTACCCACCTGGAGGGCTTCCCCGCTCTCCCTTCAGACCTTCGCTCATTAACATCAACCTTCCTAACTTGATCACACACACACAGCACCTTGACCTCAAGTTCCCAAGGCCGGGAGGGGTTTCCTTTAGCTTTGTCCCACTACGAAGCTCTGGACTTCCCAGTCTGTGGACAGCCTGGTGAGGGCACCGTGGCGTTGTTAGAAAAGACAAGCGGGCAGTCCTGGGTTTCGGCATGGGCCCGGTTGAGCTCTCTTTGGGCATGACCTGGATCTCTTCAGGGACAGATGTCTGGCCCTCTCATGTGAGTACGCGTGTCCACGGCCCCTGGTCCTGCCCCTGGTCCTGCCTGACCTACCACCATCCTTGCTGAGCCGGCGGAACACCCCCATCTGCCCACAGGAAATGGAGCAACGGGCAATGTAACTGCTAACAGCAGTGGAACACTCCGTCACCCTCCCCCAGGCATGGAGAACGGAACACGGACTTTTCTGAAACCCGAGTTCCTGCTAGTCTCAGCTTCTGTGCCCTTGCCCCTTCCAGCCGCCATATGACCATCCCTACCCTGGCAGGTGACCAGAGTGATCCTCTCTCAGAGTTACAGTTCCCAAGAGCCAAAATATCTTTGCACGAGGAATGGCTTTACAGTGGACGTTTTCGGAAGCGACGTGTTGGGCATCCTGAGAGAAGGTACAGGACTGAAGGCAGGGAAAGAGCATCTTCCTGTGGGAAGCCCCTGAGATTACAGTGGGTGGCCATTGCTCATAGCAAAAACTAGTTCTTTAAAAATCGGCATACAGGGCGCTCCCTGGTGGCGCAGCGGGGGAAAGCGCAGCACTATGAAGCAGCCACAGCCACTGCAGCACAAGTTTGATCCCCGGCCAGGGAGGTGACCCACATGGCATGGCAGACCTGTCCTGACCTGCCCCCTATCTTTCTGTCAATCTGCCTGTTCTGCTCCCCCTGTCTCAGGGGAATCCCCTCACCTCTGGCCTGCACCCCAGTTCTTGTGTGCAGAAATAAATAAATCTTTTTTAAAAAATTGGCATCCAGAAGGGATCCCTGAGCTTGGTTCCTTAACCTCTGGGCCATCTCCCCTGAAAGCTCCTACCGAAAGCCCATTACACCCCAGCAGGGTTCGCGTGAGCCTTTACTTCCCCCTTTGTTTCTGGTCTTTGAGTCGGCACTGGGACCTTTGCTTTGGTTGGGATTCGGCTGCCGAGAGGCCACAGCAGACCTGCTTACCAGAAGTGGCGTCTGAGGGGCACTGTCCTTTCTCAGGCAGGGGCAGCCTGGCATCAGGCCAGTCTCAGGGCCAAAGACCAGAACCAGCTCTGCTTGAGAGGAGCTTTCCTCCTGGGAGGGCACACGGGCGACTTCAAAAACACACGTCCACAGTTTTTAGTACCTGGAAGCAGAGTGTTGCCCTAACAAAACAAATGTGGGCGTGGAATGGACCTGTTGAGTGCATGGACAGTGGACAGATGAATCAAAACAAAACAAGAACATGGCATAATCTGGCAACTGGTGGCTTTCTGCATTCAAAACCATTTGTTGACTGTTCTGGCCTGGCCCTCTCTCTGCCTGCGAGGCTGGGGGGGCGGGGGAGGGGGCGGCCCACGCAGAGCATAGCAGAGCCGCAGGCTTGGCAGGAGGGGCAGGGCACTCGGATGGGGCTTCGGCGCCTGAAGGCGAGACTCTGCTCTGCCCCAGCCAGTGGCTGTGCTGGAGTTTCGGGCAGAGCCCAGGGCCCTTGTGGCGGGCTGGCCAGTGAGCCAGGGAGAAGGCGCGAAGCCCCCCGAGGGTGGAGCAGCAGGATGCGGCCGCCCTGGGGTTGCTGGCAGAGGCCAGGGAGGCAGCCGGGAGAGTTGAGAGGTCTTGCCAGGAAAGAGAGGAAGGAAGACTGGAAAAGTATTTCTGCCTGCTCCATCTGCGGGCAATGCCTGATTATTGCCTGAAGCCCCTGGAACTCTTTGGCATATCATCTATGGCTATAGACACTAGTTAGCACGGCTATGTAGCACGATATTCACTATTTAGCACAGTACCTGTTACAATAATGAATACATGAGCAATGTCGACCTATGCTGCTATATTTACTACTGTTCGTGATAATACACTAAGGTACGTTGCTGCTATTAGTAAAACTACGCTGATCGCGCATTAACACAACGAGACATTCGTCTCATTTGTCGTGGATCATATTTCCTAAGCTCGCTCTTCCTGGGAGGCAGGCTCTGCTTTGGATGGCAGAGCGTGTAACAAAGCACAAGGATGGATGAGGACAACATCGGGGCCTCCCCCGGGGCACCCCACCTCTGCAGGTACCCCACCCATTGCATGAGTATTTGCTCCGCACCTCATCCATGAGGTCCTGGGGGTGCTGGGTTGGACAGAACAGCGTCAGAGAGGCTGACCGCCTGTCCCTCTGGCGGCCGGTCTGTCTGCTGCCGTTGCCTGCCCAAATGCCCCATGTCCAGTCTGACCTCGTGTTCTTCCTTCCACCAAAAACACTACTTTGGGAATTTTCACCTCTCTGTTCCATGTCTTAGCAGAGTGCGCTCTGACGTGCAGGTGCTTAGACGGAAATGCCGCCCTCACCTGGCCTCACTGGCAGCCCCTGCGCCCCTCTGCGCTGCCACCTCACCAGCTACCAAACAGCAGCGGTCACTTCCCGCGTCCCTGCTCTCCGCTACTTCTCCCAGCACACAGCAGCTGGTAACGTCTAGCCAGCGGAGGAGGGGAGAGGAGGGGAGACATTGCAATAGAGTCAGCAGAGAGAAAACAGGTCCCCCGACAGCAGCAATGCACCGGGCTACCCCGCCCTCCCTGGCCCTAGGCTTCCCCTCCCACCCCTCCTAATGCCCGGCTCTGGTCAGCTCAGCCGGTCTGCCTGTTTCAGCGTCCTCTAGCAGCAGATCGCATGGCTGTCCCTGCTCCAGAATCCCCCACCTGCAGTTTCCACTCTGCTCCTCATCACGCCCCACTCGGCAGCCCTGTTTCTCAAGCAGCTTCCTCCCGCTTTCCCCTCCCTCCATCAAGTGCATGAGACACTCACACCAGGGCCACCTGGCCCTCTTAGCAGTGGGGGAGGAGTGGACTCCGCAATGAAGCTTGCATTCATTTTATTTATTCATCCTTCAACTTGCCTCGCTCTGGAGCTTGCAACGAGGTAAGAAAGTACCGAGAAGTAACAAGGGCATGCTCTCAGTTGTGCGGGGCGTTCACTGCCCAAGAGCACCCACCAAGGAGAAAAATAGCAGCTGAAATCCGGCCCATTACCTGCTCACCAGCACAGAATATACCTGCCCAGAGAAAGCTTGATTTTCCAGTTTGCACAAAATTGCACAAAGCTCCCAGCCGCTCCCCCATGGGCCATGGTGACATTAAGAGCAGGAGAAAGAGAGGACTGAGGACAAAGGGCAGTGGGGCGTTCGGATCTGAACCCCCAGATCAGACTTGTGCTCCATTCCTTGCCCAGGTGTGTCCTGAGTGACTTCCCAGTCACAGCACGAGCTAAAACACAGAGAAGGGCCCTCCCTGGTGGTGCAGCGGGTTAAAGCACAGCACTGAGAAGCTAAAGCCACTTCCGAATGAGTTCCATCCCCACCTGCCCCAGAGGTGACCCACAGGGCACAGCAGACCTCCCCTGACCCGTCCCCTGCTCCCCTCAGCAGTGTACTTCGTTGATCTGCCTGTTCTGCTCCCCACTCTGTCTCTGGTGAAGCCTCTCGCCGCCCCCACACCTCTGGCCTGTACCCCAGCTCTGCATGCATAAATAAATAAATCTTAAAATAAAACACAGAGAAAGGGCCACTTCTCTTGCTCGATGGGAACAGGTAAGGGTCTTCAGAGCACTGCTGCTCTGTTTCACACTTTGGCTGTTGATGGCCTCGTGTCAGGCCACGTGGTATGTGCAGACGCCGCCGGCAGGTAAAGCTGCCCCACAGGCAGGCACAGCAGCCGCGGGTGAAGGCGCATCGGCGTCTCTCCCGCACCGGAAGCCCCACACGAACACGCCTTCGCTGGAGAGTGCGGAGCGCGGCCTCCCTGCCAGCACGCCTGCCAGGGAAGCCGGATGGCGGTGCTCTCTTGGCTATTTCTCCCTGCACTCTGGGGTCTGACCTGACTCCTGCGGGGAGAGAGAATGGGAAGAATTCCGTGGGCTCTTGGACCCTCAAGGGGAGATGGGGGCTGGTGGCTGCTGTCCCTAACCCTTGGGCGCCAGCTCTTCCCATGGGCTTCTCTCTGCTAGGCCAATCAGTGCAAAATGGCTTCTGCTGTAGAGGACTGCCAGCGTCAGTGCCACATGCACCTCACCCAGCTGGCTGACGGCAGGCAGGTCACTCGGAGCTGTTCAAGAATTCAACTCATCAAAGGGACTGGGAAAAGATTACCTCGCTTTTACTGGCCCCAGGGGTTCAGGTCAAGGATTTTATAAATATTTCACTTTGCTTAGTTTGTGTAATGCTTGAGAACAGCTATTACAATAAGCCAAATGGTAGTTTTATCTCAGGCCCACATCTTGTGCCACCCATGGGCACAAGATTACACTTAACAAATGCAATCAACAACAACAACACAATCTAACATTAACTCTGCAGGTGTCCGGGACGAGCAGGTCCCTCACTCGCACTCCACTGCCTGTGCTGATTCTGTGGATGAGCGCTCCCCCTCCCTGGGGAAGTTGGGGACTAGGGAGGTTCTCACACTGAACAGGGTTCTGGAACCTGTCCCAGGATCTCTCCTAATCTCAGGGGTCTACACCCACCCACCCACCCAGACACCCTGCTGCCACCCACCTGCCAGCTCTCAACAGCCCAGAGCCACCTCTGGCTTCCCAAGAGCCTGTCACTTTCTTTCAGGTGTTCTCTCAACATCTCTGAGTTTGCTTATTTATAAAATGAGAACAATACTCCCTACCCCCATGCGACTCTTTTGAGGGGTGCTTGGTTGCTTGCTTTTTGGTTTTCTTTTTTGGAGATAACATATGCCAAGCACTTAAAGTACCTGGCACCTGACAGAGCCTCATAAATTAAAGCCACTATCAATCTCAGGAGAAATGAAAAGGAGAAGGCGGGGCGCTCCTTGGCATTCCATTTTTGGGTTAGCCTGAGTCCCAGAAGCCAAGACAGAGGCGGACCTTTCTTGCAGGCCCCCCCCCACCACCAGCATTCCCCTCCACCCCTCACCGCCCCGCCCCACCTCCACCCCTATCCTGGGGTTCAGGGCCACCGCCTTGCAAGGACACTGCTTTGCATTCACATCACTGCAGGGCCACCACGTGGAGAAAGGTGCCTGGCTCTTGACCTGGATAAACTGATGAGTCTCCCAGAATAGTGTATCTTCATCAATAATAAAAGGCTTTTTATAGAGATGGGGCATAAGACACGCAGTCCCTTTCCTTCTTCACAGGCTCCTCAGGAAGGACAGGAAGCAGCCTTCAAGAAGGTGCCATCGGAGAGCAACACAAACAGAAATGTAAGAACAGTCAGGCTCCTGCCCAAACCTCATGCCAGCCTGCAGCAGAGAGGAGACCAAGCTATCTCCAGGCAAAGGAGACAGGGTAACTCCGTTTATTGCCGCTGAAAATTGAGTTAGAAAAAGTTCATTAAGACCTTGGCATCAGACGGAATCTGGTGTTGCGAGCGTAAACCAAAGTGGTATTGAAAGAGCAGCCATTCACCTCAGGGGGTCCTGCCACCGGTCCCAACCAAACCCCCGAGGCAACTGCCACCGTGAGTGAATTTGGCCCACACTCGGCCCATCCTTAGTTTTATATGATCAGGCCCCGCCCCAAGGACAAAGCAGAGCAGGAAAGGTTGGCAGGTGTGAGAGGGGCGGGGCGTGGCCCCTGGTTTCCATGGCGATGCCTGAAGCAGACTGACTGTCCATGCTCTAGTCATGCGCCCAACTTGGGACCAATCACTGCAGCTGTGGCCGGGGGTGCCGCTGGCTGGCCAGGCTGAGGACAGGTACTTCCCGGCTTTGGGGAGCGGGAGGGCAGCAGCCATCGAGCCATGTGGAATATGGGCTTGTCCCAGGAGAGGTGCGAGGTAAGCTGGACAGGTCAAAACAGCAACTGTCCTCTGCTCTGGTCACTAGGAGTTCACAGGGGGTGGGGAGAAGGACACCAGCTGATGAAACTAGAGTCTTCCCCACTAGAGTAAGTTACAGATATTGTGCAAGAGGCCCAGTGCATTAAAATCCATCTAAATTGGGACCCAGACTCCCACCGCACACGCCTGCTTCTGCCTGAGTTAGTAAACGCTGGTAATGGTGGCAACTCCTTTCTACCAAAAAACATTCCAGGCCCTCCCTGGTGGCGCAGCGGGTTAAAGCACAGCACTGAGAATCTAAAG